GGAGCGGGGGGCGACGGTGGCGATCGTGATGGAGCGCGAGTCTGTGGGGTTGCGTAAATGCGTGGAGAGAATGCGGTGGCTGTGGGAGGATGTGGGGGGGGGCGCGTCGTGGCGCAATGGACCCCCTTGGAGGCCCCTGGGAGCCGCCTGGGATCGTGGGATGGAGGCGTCCGGGCCCAGGGAACCTCGCCTTTGGGGGAATGAATGAAGAGCCGTGGAAGCGCCTTCCGACTGCTCCGTGCGAACGGATTGGCCGGCGTGCGCGCGCGTGTGTGCGTGTGTGTGTTTAGGATTCGGAGCCGCCTGGGTCCTGGGCGCGGCTGCTTGACCGCCCCGTCGCGGTCCGGGTGCCCAGTTGCCCTCCCTCCCTGCACGCTGGAGCAGCGGGTGTAGACGCTGAAGGCTGGAGGCTCCTTTACGTAAACAGCTGCTTGCGGCTGAACGTCCGCGCCTCGCGTGGGGCGGTTCGAGGAGGAGGCGGCAAGGCTGAGACCTGCTCCTCATGCCCCTGTCTTCCCGTCCCCGGAACCCTTCGCTGTATTCACGTTGGGTGAGTTGATGGCACAGAGTGTTCGGGAATGAAGTTGTATCTCCAGGAAGCCCCAGGATGCCCCGAGACTGCTTGGGGCGCAGAATTCAGTGAGGCCGAGCAGGGGGCTCGCTCTGGTTCTGGGATCCCTGGCTGCGCTCCCGCTGCTCATTATCATCTGCGGTTCCCATGAGGCCAGCCACCCGGCGTTGGAGCAGAAAGGTAGGCTGGCGGCATCTGCACCCCGCGAGGGTCCAAGGAGGAAACCGAGGCTTGGAGCTTTGCGGGGAGTTTCTCTAAGACCCTCCCACGCATTCTCCGTCCCCAGTTTTTCTACCCCCCTCCCCCTGCAACGTTGCAAAATCAGGAACCCTTCCTTCCAGAGCATGACACTTACTAATTTTTACAAACTGTGTGTTGAATCAGGATGTCTCGATGAATACCCACTACAGATCATATATGGTTTTGTTTAAGAGCATGGGAATAATAATGCTTTTTAATTAGGTAGTTTTTTATCAAATAAGTTTTTCTCTCCAATACTAAAGATAGGCAGGAAAATGTTCTTGCCTCCTGCTGCATGGAGAGACAGAGCCAGCAGGGAAGCGGCCTGCCCTGGGCTCCCTGTTAGTGCTCAGCTGTGCCGGAATGGGTCTGCAGGTCAGGCCTGCCCACCAAGGTCCAGCTCCCCAGGAGAACCACCTTGGGGGCCTTCTGAAGGAAATCGGCCATGTCTTTTTGTCTTTTCTCTCTGGGCCATGCAGGACTGCAGTAAGCTGGCTTGTGGGTGAAGCAAGCCAAGTTAATTCATCCAAGATATGGGGTGGGGGTGGGTGGGGGGGCACGTCTGCCCACAGTGGATCCCACGCGTGCCTTGCTTTTCTTTGGCCATCAGAGCTTGTGAGGTCTGAGCCACCGCTGCCCTGGCCTGGGGAGTTGACGCCTTTGGTTTTCCACATGCCTGAAAGAGAGAAGACGAATCCCTGCATCTGGAGCAGGCGATGTTTGCAGGAAAGGTTGGGAAGGAGACTCTGCTTATTTGGTGTTTAGAGAAAAGCAGAGAAGAGACTCTAAGATACCGGCTGAGCCACAAGAGTCCCAGGGCCTTTGAACCTGCACTAGCAGAAGCTTTGGAGAAGTGCTGGGTTCTGATTAGATTGTGGTTGTCCAGGGCCATCAAGGTCCTAGCTGAAAGCTGCCCTTGCTAGTGCAAGGGATGGGGAGAGGAGGTTGGGGCTGCCCTGAACAGGAGAGCCCGCGCTCTACCTGTAGGAAGCAGCTTTGACTGAGCTCCAGCCAGTTGGGGAAAACCAGACTTGCTAGGGTTTGTTAATTTTCAAGAGAATTCTCAAGCTTGGATATTAAAGTGTGGGCTCAAATTCTAGAAGTAGGGTAGAGGTTAGGTGAGTGTACTGGCAGGAGGTCTGAGGCTTGACACCTGGCTCTTTCTATACTGGGAAGGGTATCCCACCATCAGAGAAATGTGACCCACGGATCACACCCCCTGAGGGCCCAAGGACTAAGAATTGACAGATGCGCATCGTGTCTACAGCCATGTGCCAGGCTCCTTCATTTGCTTATGGGTCTTGCATTCACTCAATAGCTATTTGATGAATTCCCATCATATGGAAAGTGACACTCTGCATAAAACTTTTCAAATAATTTTATTTCCCAAATAGATCCCTCGGTTGACCACCTGGGGATGATACAATGATAAGACAGACATGGTCCCAGCCCTTGAAGGAGGGGACCAGACACAAATGCCTGTACCAGGTGGACAAATGAACTGAGCTGTGTTAAGAGCTGGGAAGGATGGCGTGGCAAAGGAAAGGGCTAGGAACGGGGTGGTGGTGGGGGACGGGCCTCCTTTTACAGATGTGGAAACTGAGGCTCGCAGCAGTAGGGCAACTTGCCCAAGGAAACACAGCTGGTAAGTGGAAAGTCAGGCCAGGTCTTTGATCCCCGGCTCCTGGGCCGGCTGCTTCATCCCATCAGGCTGGGCTGAAACATCTGGGAGTTTCCAGAATGGACGCTTGCTGTGGTTGGCAGCTCTGCTTTTCCCGTGCACCCGCCCAGACCCTCTCCCCTTCCTCGTGCCTCAGCAGGCCTGGGATTGCACAGATGCCACTTGTCGCCCATTTGTACGAGAGAGAGAGAGAGGAGTCCACTTAAATTCCAAAGGCAGAAACTTTTTAAAAAGTAGCAGCTGGTATGGGAATGTCATTTGCGTGGGCACGCCCTTTAGCAGCATGTGAGTAGAAGTGATGCTGTCAGTCACTGGTGACAATAATGTACCCTGTTTTCCCTTCTGGTCTGTAGCTGGGATGCTCAGGAAGGATACTGAGTTACTTCCATGGGTACCTCTGATCCTGTTCTGTGAACTGAGAGATTGTGTTCTCACCTAGCTGACCAGACATTGGGAGGCCGAGCGTTTTGACTTGCACAATGTATTTCTTTATTGTTCTCAAGTGCTAGGGTCTGACTCCCTTCCTGAGACGCTCCTCCTTTAAGTACAGCACTGGGCCGAGATGATTCACATGCAGACCTGTGTTTTCACAGCATGAAATGAAGCATAAAGGTGTCAGTCGTCTAGTTAGCGTATTCGGTCTAGATATTCAGGAAGAAAAGTCAAGGTTTTGTGTTGATTTGGGCCCATATAGGATTATTTTAAGTACAGGGGTTGGGCGGGAAGACACTGATCACGACAGCTTTCATTTTCTGGGTTCCTGCTGGTTCCCGCTGGCCCTGAGCCGGGCAGTCAGACAGGTATCCCCTTTTGTCTCAATGAGAGGGCAGGGAGGCCCTTCGAGATCACACAGACCAAGCTGTTAGCCTGGGCCTCCGGAGGAAGGAGGGACGTGGGAGGGGCGGTGCATAGCAATAACAGAGCTCCAGAGAGGCAGGGCGGGTGTGACCCAGCAAGCTGTAAGCTGGGGGAGGTTCTCAGTCTCTCTGCTGATTTTGAAAGGGATGCGGAGGAAACTCGAGCCACATCTTTCATCAGCAGCACATGCAGTATTGACACGTTCCCTCGGGTGCCACCCCGGGCTAGGTACACGGGGGCAGAGTCAGCACGCGGCTGGGCTCCGAGGCAGCACTCAGAGGAGGGGCGAGGCAGCAGTTGCACATCAGAGTCTCTTAATGCTGCTGACAGATGGCGTTGAGCCTGGGACAGGTGCAGCAGGCGCCTGGCTGCAGTGGTCTAGAATGACTTCGCACCTGGCCTGAAAGCTGGGGTCCTGTGCTGTGCGTGAGGTGACCTCTGCAGGGGGCTTGGAGCAGCGTCTGGCATACAGTAAGCGCTCGATAAATGCTGACCTTTCTTTAGCACTCATCACCGGGGGGGTAGGGGGGGGATGTCTCTGAACTCCTTGAAATTGCGCGTGCAATTTTTATGTAGCTGTGCATCTTTCTCGGAGGGCATGCCTTCTAGTATATTCTACCTCAAAGGGCTGCTCTGACACCCCATAAGGCCGGGAGCCCCAGGATGCCTTGGATTCTAGTCAGGTTTCCTTGGGGTGGTTGTTCGACTTTTCAGGGTTGTTTCTTCATCTGTGCAAAGAGTGGGCTAGGTACCCAGGTGCTGTGAGAGACGCTTTCAGCTGACATGGAGGACAGGCTGTGGGTCCAATGCAGTTAAGCAGAGGGCAGAGCGGGCAGCTCTCACTGGGGATGTCCTGGGTGGCTTTTGAGTGTCACATGCTGAGCCGCACTTTAAGTTCAAAAGAGTCCCAAGCAGGCGAGCAGGGGCCTCCTTGCTGGGCAGGCTCTCCCTCACACTATTTTAGATCTGTAGAACTCATCTTAGTCCAGGCCTTTTGGGCCTTTGAAGAAAGCAAGGCTGGCAGATCCTCAAAAGCAGAGGTGTCATTATAATGGAAATTTGGCCGTCTTCCAGAATTGTGTTTGCGATGAAAATATTGAAACAGGCAGCTCCATCACCCAGGTGCCTGGAAAATACCCCAACATGGGCAAATAATTAGATACAAGCCAGGCGCAATTATTTTTTCCTACAATATGCTGGAACCTGGTGGTTTTGCATTTTTTTTCTTGAAATGGAGTATGCACCCACTAGTTCATTTT